AGTGACCTCTTGGTGCATTGCATGACTTGCAACCAATGGGGCCACACTAGCCAGGCTAGTTTTCTTTACAAGCTCCTGTTTTTCTTGAAACCAAGTTGTTTAACTTTTTCTGGGTTTCCTTTCAATAAGCACTCTACCTCTTAAAGTAATGTGGATGTCTTCTTTGCAACTGAAAGAGCCTAACTAAAAGAGCATTTTAAAACACTTATTCTGGCAGCACTGCAGAGAATGAAGTGGAGGGTATGGCATGACAACAGGCAGAAGACAAAAGGCAAGACAACCACTTAGACAGCTTTACAAAAGCCCAGCAGATATTTTGGGTTAAAATTAAGCAGAGACAACAAAAATAGCAATTAGGAATGATATGAAATATCATGAGGGAGAATATGCAGGACGTAGTGATGTTGGTAGTAAGGTACAGAGGAGTGGAAGATGATTCCCAGGTTCCTGAAGCCTTCATGAGGAAAGAGTGGTGTTACTCATCAAGATAGGAAATCAAAAAAAAAATTTTTGTTGCAGTTTGTCTCCCTTATCCACCTTTTTTGGAGGAAAAGAGGCAGAAAGTTTTATATCGTACATGTTTGAAGTGCTTGTGAAATGTGAATCCAAGTGGAGATATCCATTAGCAGTGATTTATAGGGGTCTAGAGTAGAGGCAAGAGCTCTAAACAGCAGCTCTAGACTTAGGAATAAATACATTAAGTTGGTGTTGTGGTTTTATAACATGACCGAAAATTCTCTGACCAATATTTATCTTAAATTAAGTTAACATAACTAAAAATCATGCAAACTAAAAACTTAACATTCTTGGCAAACCACATTTCAAACGTCTGCACTTCTCTGAGATGGAGTTTATATTACTAAATTCTGCTGAGGTTTTATTTTTTTCTAAAAAAAAAATCTAACTTTAATGAAAATATGCTCAAAGTCACTAATTATCAGAGAAATACAAATTAAAACCACAATAAGATATAATCTCACACCTGTCATAATGGCTATCATCAATAAATCAACAAATAAGTGTTGGCAAGGATGTGGAGAACAGGGAATCCTTGTGCATGGTTAGTAAGAATACAGATTGGCGCAGCCAATGTGGAAAACAGAGATTCCTCAAAAAATTAAAACTGGAACTGCAGCCCTGGCCAGTTTTGCTCAGTGGTTAGAGCACCAGCCCGAGGACCAAAGGGTCGTAGGTTCGATTCCCAGTCAAGGGCATGTACCTGGGCTGCAGGTTCGACACCCTACTCCAGTTGGGGTCATGCAGGAGTCAACCAATCAATGTGTCTCTCTCATATCAATATTTCCCTCTCTCTTTCTTTCTCTCTCTCTCTCTCTCAACCTCCCTCCCTCCCTTCTACTCTATCTAAAAAAAAAAAAAAATCAATGGAAAAATATCTTCAGGTGAGGATTTTTTTAAACAGGAACTGCCTTATGATTCAGCTGCTCTACTTCTGGGTATATATTTGAAGAAATCCAAAACACTCATTCAAAAAATTACCCCTATGTTCACTGCAGGGTTATTTACAATAGCCAAGATATGGAAGCAACCCAAGTGCCCATCAACAGATGAGTGGATAAATAAGTGGTGGTACACATATTCGATGGAATATTACTCAGCCACAAAAAAGAATGAAACCTTATCATTTGTGACAGCATGCATAGCTAGCATTATGCTAAATGAAATAAGTCAGACAAAGACAAACACCATATGATTTCACTTATAGGTGGAATCTGAAGAACAAAATAAGCCAGCAAACAAAATAAAAACAGACTCACAGATACAGAAAACAAATTGATGGTTGCCAGAAGGAGGTTGGGGGAGGGGTTGAAAGGGTGAAGGGATTAAGATGTACTAATAGGTAGTTACAAAAAAGTGAAGGGCATGTGAAATACAACATAGGGAATATAGTCAATAATACTGCAAAAACTATGTATGATACAAGGTGGGTACTAAACTCATCAGAGGGAATCACTTTGGGAATTATATGATTGTCTAGCCATTATGCCATACACTTGAAACTAATATAAAATAATACTGAATGTTAACTATAATTGAAAAATAAAAATTTTAAAACAAATAAAATGTAAAAAACAAATCTACTTAAAATATAAATTTTTACATTATGACCAAAAAAACCTAAGTTTACTCCATTTCCATCATAAATTGTACACCACTAATGATAATGAAGGGGGAAAAATGTTTAAAAATCACGTTAGACAGTGAACCTCACTATTGAATCTTAAACTATAATAACAAAATTTTTTAAGACTTAATCACGTAATTTACGAGCTTAGACATTCAACTTTACCTGTAATGTAAATGTTGCATTTCTTCCCTACATTTTATTTTCCTTCTCTCATCTATACCCTTTGCTCCCAAAAATCTATTACTATGAACTCAGAATTTGACAATGAGCTTAAGGCACAAATCCAGCTGCCTACTGGCCATCTACATCTGACAGAAGTATAATCACCCAAACTCAACATATCACAATTGAATTCTCTTTCTTAACAAAAATAAAAATTCTATGTTTTCCTCATATGGATCCCCACCTCAATGAAAGGCACAAGCTAGAACCTAGATCTTATCTTCTATGAATCCTCTCCTTAATCTCAAAACCACTGAAATCACCAAATCCTGTCTACCCCCATACCCAAATCCAGACCCACTATCATCATTTGCCTGGATTGCCCTGCTGATATTCCTTCCTGCCTTTGGCCTTGGTCTGCCCTTCAATCCACCCTCCTCGCTGAAGCCAGAGTAATATTTTAAAAATGTAAATCTGATCCTATCAGACCCCTAACTTTAAAATCGTCAATAACTTATTCAATAAATATTATAATCACCATCAAAGCTAGTCACTCCACTGAAGTTCTGCAGATCAATGACATTTACTTTAGTATATCTTTTTCTGTAGGTTCAGCACAAAAGAAGCATCAGGAAATTTTTTCAAATCCTGAAATATACTTAAAACACACACACAACAGCTGGTGCATTTAAAAGAAAAGCATGCAGCACTGTTTGTAAAAGCAAAGACTGAAAATACCTCAAGACCACCAAAATGGAACACTACCATCCAGCTAGTAAATGAGGCACTACCATGTGTACTGTTGTTGAATGATCTCTAGGATCTGAATATTAAGTGTAGATAAAAACCTATAAACAGAGTCTACAGTATGCTCCAGTGATTTAAGAATATAAATGTACCTAGCCAATGTGGCTCAGTTTGTTGGAGCATCATCCCATACACTGAAAGGCTGCAGGTTCGATTCCTGGTCAGGTTCAATCCCTGGTAGGGGCACGTACAACAGACAAGCAATCAATTTTCTCTCACATCAGTGTTTCTCTCCCCCTCCCCTTCTCCTCTCTCTAAAATCAATAAGCATATCCTTGAGTGAGGATTTAAAAAAAAAAAAAAAAAGAACAAGAATATAAATGTATATGCTTGTAGATGGTAGAAATATCACAAAAAGGGCACACATCAAAATGGAAATAAGGTTTGCCTCTAAAGAGTGAAAATGGTTGGTTGGAGGATAAAGAGAAACTTTTTACTGCATATTCTTTTGACCTCTTTGACTTTTATATTATGTCTATAATTTTAAACATAATTTCCCTCCTCAGTTCCACACAGAATAAAAATTTGAAATGTACTGACTACAAAAACCTCTCTATACTTCATTCCTACAACGTTAAAATTATGCACTGATCATTTGGTGTAGCATTACATTTGCTTTTTGACAGCTGAGGAGTTCAACTTCAACAAACAACATTTTATTCGATATTTTACTTCTGCTGAGAAGGCTACTGGTAATGACACCAGTGAACATTGCAATGATAATTGTACTTGCTCCTTGAAAAAGCAAGACAGCAAGCAGCACCAGGTAGCAGAAATATATTAAACTGACATTAAACCTTTAGGAATTAAGGAAAGCTACAAATCTTACTTTTCCAGCAAAATCAAAAACAGCAAATCAAAAAACAAGTTCCCGGTATCCTTCAAAAATCAGTGCAAAAAACTGTAAAATCTGCAGGAAGATGAAGCAAATGATACTACATGGAGACACAGTTACACACAATCGGTAAAATGTGATTTAACCCTTAATGGAGGTCCCTAAAATATCAGATCTGGACTATCTCACACCTTCTACAGAAGACACAAGATGAGACGCAGGCCTTAAAATTGCACGCATCCCCTGCCCTGAGCTTCCATCCTCTTCCCTCTCCCTCTCTTCCATAGTCACCAGACTGAACCCTTCAAACATGGGTGTCAGTTGGTCCCGTTAAGCCCACTGGGGAGAATACACTAAGCTAAGCAAACATCCCTTCAGCATTTCATAGCTAAGTTCTCGCAACCAAAGAAAGGATCACGACCAGGAAAAAAAGATAACAAGGTCTGCCTTCGGAGAGAAGGTCTGTGCGAGAGGGGTGGAGAGAGAGTGGGTGTCTAAAGAGTGGCTGACACCAAATCTACTGAGAGGGAAGAGCATCACGAAATAGACTATCTGAAAGCCCAATTGGGTAGGGGAAGAGCTAGTCAGTTTGGCGGTAAGCGACCGGGGAGGGGAAGGTCCGCTGGGAAGGGGGGTGGGCAGCAATGAACCTGCCTTGGAACTGGGGGTCGCTATGGGTTAGGGGGCGGCCGTGCCTGGGTCTCAGAGGCACTACGATCCGGTAAGCTCACGGGAGGATGTAACGGAGTCTGGAGACTCCATTAAGAGTCCTAAGAGTCCGAGGAGGGTTCTAATGGGGTGTGCTGGGGTTGGGGCTAGTGACTGAACCGCCGGGGCGGCTGGAGGGCCGGAATGAGGTCTGGCCAAAGGAGATACGAAGGGTGGGGTATACTGGGGCTGGGGCAGTGATCCAGAGTCAGGGAGGCTCCAGGGAGACCCGCTTGCGGGGCGTCTCCGCTGGGGCGGGGCCGGGCGGTCCCGCAGGAGCCCAAGCGAGACTGAAACGTGGGCCGGGCGGCGGGGCCGCTGGGTGGCTAGGGCGGGTCTTACCTCGGGCTTCGCCGCGGTGGCCACCACGGCCCCCTCCTCTATGGCGGAAGCTGCCTCCCACCCTCGGCCCCAGGGTGAGGCCGGAGGAGACAGCACAGGCCGAGGCCAGCAAGGGTCGGACGGTTCCAGGAGGGTGGGCCCAGCTGCTTCAGGGTCCGGACGAACAGCCGCCGCGTTTCCCCCGCCCTGTCAGAGAGACTCCGCCCGACCTAGGCAGACACATCCCCCGCCGCACCCCGCCCAGAGAGCACGCGTTGAACCGCCGCCTAAACCAGTGCCGCAGATGCTTCCGCCGCCGATTCTCAAAGTCCTGGCTGGACTCTACGCAGCCACCGCCAATCGCCGCCGGGTCCTTGGTTGGCTTCGGCCCGCGCGCCCCCGACCGCGCGCACGCGGCTCCGCCCCGCTCTACTCCTCAGCTGCGGATGAGCAGACGCGCGCGCACTTACCTCCCACGCCCCCTACCGCCTAACCGAGTCGGCCCGCCCGCACGTGACGCCGCCAGAGAATACAGTATGCGCTTGCGCGGGCACACCCCATTTCCTCCTCCCCAGGCGGCCCCTCCCAAATGTTTTTTCCTCACCTTACGGCAGAGAGGGTATTCTCCCTCGACTGAAGAGTAATGTCGCAAGGTTAGGGTAGAAAGCTCTGGGTTTGCGACTGTAGCTTTCGCTTTCCGGCCAAAACCCACAGAGGTGTCTGAAGGCTGGTTGAGGTGGTGTGGCCCAAGGCAGGTAAGAAGCCGACCCCACATTTCGGTTTGTCTGTCAGTATGTTCCGGCAGGGGACCGCTTTGCTGCCCACGCAGATTTAGCGTATCCATGCCCCTTCCCCAATTCTGGTGCTCGGTTCTCAGCGTGGCCGCTCTTAGCCCCCGCCCCTTCTCCCACACGCACGCCCTCTCCCCGCCTTTCCCCGCCTCCGACCTCCGTTTTTTAAGGCCTCCTTTCCATTCATTCTTCCCACTTTTCACTGAGTGGTTTCCATAACTTGGACTCAAGAAAGTCGTAAACGAATGAAATAGTCTCAGCTTTCTGAAGTGTGTTATGTGGGAGACGGTGAGAGGATCCGCAGTGGTAATAAAATAAGATTATAACAGGAAAAAAAAACACAGGATACTTTCTGAGCATGGAAGAGGGGCCCCCAGTTGTGTAGAAGGACATGAGGAAACTCATTCCAGGGCACCCCTTGGGTCACTCTTAACTTGTGTTAGAAGGCTAGTGAGCAGTGGCTGGTCAAAGAAATAGGAGTGAGAAGCAGAAAGAGTGACGGGTACAAAAGCATATGTCAGTATTGGTCCCGAAGACTAAAAAGTTAGAGGAATAGGATATAGCTGGTGGAAACCATACTGGTGTACACTTTAAGGAAGCATCGTTGTAAGGACTGAGAAGGATGAGGACTGAGAATGTGAGCCGCAAGTATTTTTTCTTTAAAGATAGGAGACTTAGAACCAAGAAGTGGAGAGTTCATGGGTGAGGGTGTCTAATTTATAGGATAAAGCGCTGTAATGGAACTCATCCTTGTGCGCACATTGGAGTCATCTGGGAAGCTTTAAAAAAATAAAATAAAATAAATGTTGTTTAACCAATTAAACAAACTCTGGTCCAGTCATCAATGTTTTCTTCTGAGATGACCCTAATGCTGAGGTTTGAGAACTACTAAGCTAAAGAAAAGTAAAGGATGGGAAGTAGGGAAGGACAGGAAGTTATGGAATTGGCTCTGTGACTTTAGGATGGGAGTCATTTGATGAGAGAGTTAGGGATGGAATCAGAAGCTTGAGCAGAGAAAGTGATGAAAGTTTTGAGTAACTGCTCTAGGAAATGGAAAAAGAAAAAGCCATTCCTGCCTTTCCCTTCAGCACAATTCCTTCCATTACTTTTAATCAGGTCCTTTCAGTTAAAGCGCTCTTTCCTCTCCCTTTCTCTTCCATCCAGGATTTATCAGCTGAACAATCCAGCCTTGTAGCTCAAGAATATCCTCATTTTTATCTCTGAAAAGAACAGAGTTGAGCCAATTTTTAAAATTCAAAAACCAACTTCACTCCCCAAGGGATTACTGCACACAGTGCCTTGCCAATTATTCATTTCATTAATCACTTAAGTTAGGAATGAGATATAAAGATATTTAAGGTATAGCACCACTAGGACCTCATAGTATTAGGGAAAACAAACCTTTAAAAGAAGAAGAATTCTTTTGGCTGGCAGAGAAGGGCTGTTAAAGGCAAAGCCCAAACCAGTGCAGGGCTACTACCTGTTAACTAGGGTTAATCCAAAAACCTGTCTCTCTACCTTCAGATAAGAGAGTCACTGTTGTGTAGTATGACTAGAGCTTGGAGAATAGGGGTGGGGCAGAGATACAGATGATAAAGTGTAACCTTGAATCCCATGCTAAAACATTTAGTTTGTATACTATAAGCAATTAATAGGTATAAATAACAAAAGTAAAAAGAAAAAAACTTCTTTTAACCATGGACTTCTTTGGCAGCCTGGCCTGTGGCCCTATCTCAGAATGTTTTTATTTATTTATTTATTTTGGTGTCTTATTTTTTATTTATTTTTTATTCTCACCCGAGGATATTTTTTCGTTTTTTGTTCAGATAGAGTGGGAAGGAGAGAGAGGAAGAGAGATAGAGAAACATCGACGTGAAAGGGACACATCAAGTAGTTGCCACCTGCACAACCCAACCAGGGCCAGGGATAAACTGCAGCCGAGGTACATTCCCTTAGCGGGAACCGAACCCAGGTCTCTCTGGACCACAGGCTGACGCTCTAAACACTGAGCCAAACCGGCCAGGGCTCAGAATGTTTTTAAATGTATAAAATAAAATACATGGAAATGAATGAAACCAATTTTTTTTAAAGTCTTAAAATACTAAAGCAAGTGTGTGATGTAGTTATATATGTGCTTCTTTGTTTATTAAATACCATCTAGGAGCAGGTCTAATTGTGCAATTCCAAAATAATGATGAGTATAAGTTATATTTTGAGATACCTGCAACAACTTTAATATGTGAAAATATCCTATTTTCTTTTGGTGACAAAAGGCATAGGAATTGCTGATATTACTCTGGATTATTGCCTACATTTATTGAAGAAAATACCAGATTTCAGCCAGAGATTATTTAAAATAAAAATGCAATTTTATTTCCAGTCCAAATCATGGAATCCTTAAATTCTAGCCACATCCTGGCCCATGGATCCTAGGTTTATACAAAGCTCGCTCTAATGGTTTTAGGCAAGAGCATGATAAATCAAATCTGTATTTCAGAGAGGTACTAGTAAAGTACTGCTCTTAGGCCTGGGCTTCCCTGATGGCCAATCAATAAATACTCTCTCAGAATAGTGTAATGGGTTAAATTTCTTAAAAACAATAGCTTGGGGATTTCTGGCCTTATTTGGCTCTAATTATCTCACTACTGTTTATTGCAGCAATTTGGAACTTTAGCAGCTAAAATAAATAGTTGCTGGAAATGTTTAGCCCTACTTAATAATGTATAATATAATCCAAACTTAGATAGCTCACAAACACTTGTGTTAACATTTAAAGACAAATTGCAAGACAAAATTCTATATATCATAATTGAGTGCCATCAGACCCAATTTATGTATAAACACACTACAGGAAAAAAAATTCATTATTTCTTTAATTCATTCATTAAATATTTATTGAGCCCCCACTATATTCCAAGCACATTTTTAAATTAGAAGTTTGTAATAATTTACCTCTTAACTATCTGTGAAAAAAATAACTTACCAGGCTTTCGCCCTGGCCGGTTTGGCTCAGCGGTTAGAGCGTCGGCCTGCGGTCCGTAGAGACCCCGGTTCGGTTCCCGCTAAGGGCACGTACTTCGGTTGCAGTTTGTCCCCGGCCCTGGTTGGTCGTGCGGGTGGCAGCCACTCGATGTGTCCCTTCACGTCGATGTTTCTCTCTCTCTCTCCTTCCTCTCTCTCCCTCCCACTCTATCTGTACAAAAAATGGAAAATATCCTCGGGTGAGGATAAAAAAAATAAATAAATAAATAAAATAAAATTATGTTTAAAAAAAAATAAATAAATAACTTACCAGGCTTTGAAATCTACAGTATAAAAATATTAAAAGATGATGGATTTTTCATATTTTTACAAACAATGTGTATGCATGTGCACTGAATATACAGTAATTATAACTTTAGCTCAATCTCAATTTATCAGCTTTTATTTGTTACTGTATATTCTAAAAATACAATTCTGTCTACTTCTTTATTAAATATTATCTTACTCAGACCTCTCATTAAATCTGATAGCCTCCACATATATTGTCTTTACAACCCCAGTTATTTCAATTTTACAATTATGTAAAATCATTTCTCAGAACATTTTAAACAAAATAAACAATTTAAGAAAAGGCTGGTGTTTACAAGTTTATAGTAAGCCAAAAATATTGTGATGTAATTATACATGGAATCCTTGAGATAATAATGATAGGCTGAGAATAAAATTATTTTTATGGTTAATGACCCCTTAGCCATTGATAGCTATGCCTAGTAACAAAGCAATAGATAAATGTTGGTGCTAGAAGAAATTCTTAAAGTTCACCTTGTCTGCTTCCCTGGCCCAAGGCAGAACCTAATGGAATCTGTGACAACAGAGTTACCAGGCTTTATCACCATACCAAGTGGTTTTTCTACTTTGAGAGGTAAAATCCTCTATTTGTAAAATATTGACAATAAAGGAATACTGCTCAGATTTATAAAGAACTTACAAAATTGAGAAATCTTATGTTTATAAATAATTAAGTGTTTCTAGGAGTTTTTCAAAATGTATTATGTTTCTATATTTTGTTCAAGGAAAAAAAATTAATTTAGTAAAACATCTCCAGTTTGTCAAGCACTGAAGATAACAGGGATGAGTAAAATCTAATCTCTGCCTTCAAGAGGGATATATAAATCTTGGTAATTTTCACATGCCTCTTCATACAAATCCCTGACTGGTTTAGGCTACATTAAAAGGAAATGTTAAATTGGGGGAAATGGAAACAAACAAAACAGGCTTCAAATTCCTTCCTGAAATTTTTTCTACTTATGCTGCCATGGAAAGCACATTTGGTCTTGCATGTGATTCTGTGAAACTGCAATGAAATTGTACTTAGAAGGTGGGCATAATCTAATTTTAGTAAACATCAGATTATTTTTAGATCTTTGTGTTTAAAGGTTTATAGAAGAGAAATTAGATTTACTCTGTTTTTTCTAGAGGACAGAAGTGAGACCAGTGAATTGAAAAAACAGACATATTTTAGATCAGAGTAAGAGTGGCAGGTGGAGCCCTTGCCAGGTGGCATCGTCCCATACACCAGAAAGGTTTGATTCCCAGTTAGGGCACATACCTAGTTTGCAGGTTTGATCCACACACACATAAGAGACAACCAATCCATCTCTCTCTCTCAAATCAATAAACATCCTTGGGTGAGGATTTTAAAAAGAGAGAATGGGAAGTGGATGTATCTGTCTAATTTTCCCAACAACATTTATTGAATAGACTGTCTTTACCTCGTTGTATGTTCTTGCCTCCTTTGTCAAATATTATTTGACCATATAGGCATGGATTTATTTCTGGGGTCACTATTATGTTCCATTGGTCTGTATGTCTGTTTTTATGCCAGTACCATGCTATTTTGATTACTATAGCCTTGTAATATAGTTTGATATCAGGTAGCATGATATTTCCAACTTTGTTCTTCTTTCTTAAAATTGCTGAGG